CTTGTTTGGTAAACAACATTTGTCTCAGTATATATATTTAAAAGGGTAAAAGGCACAGCTCAAAGGAAGTTCAAGTAAAAATTACATTGTCGCTGTCGCAAGCAATCCACATTTTAAGAATTTTCTATTTTTACACCCTCCCAAAGTTCTATCAAAGGTGCACCTTTCAACATAACCAATGCATGGCAAGGCTGAAAATTTTCTTGCTTTTCTTGATTCCTGATTGGAACAACACAATAAAATTAGTTGGTTCTTTTTGTGTATCTAGTGTAAAGGGTACCCAAACAGACTAAAGTGGATTGCATGCGACACCAACAACATTATTTTGCTTACTTCAAAGGAAAAGAAAATAATAATAGGCAGAGAGAGGAGAAAGAGAGGGAGAAGAAGAAAGAAAAACAGGAAGGGGAGAACCTGGAGGAGAGAACAATAAGGAAAGGAAATAAAAGAAACACACAGAGTATTATTATTAATAAAAGCAACAATAATGACAATAATATTGATAACAAAAGTAGAAACCCAGCAAAACAATGAGCGCAAGTAAAAGCATCAATACTTAGGGACCGTTCACAAATGACGTCGGGTAAATTTTGGCCAAAAAGTACCCTCTCCCTCCCTCCTTGTCATCTTCTGTCATCTTTCCCAGGACCCCCAACCTCCCTAGTGAACATCAACCAAAATGTACATGTACATTTAGATGGAACCTGTACAGGATGCATTTTATATTTACACCTTTGATCTTTATTTTAAATTTTTAAAAATTAAAAACTATTGTTTATTAAAGAATACATCAAAGAAATACCTGAACTGTAAAGTTTTTAGGCCAAAAAAAAAAATATTATGGTTTAATTTAACTGTGTTCATTTTAGGCCAAGAAAATGTGGTCTATAACATTTTTTTCTTTCTTTCTTTTTTTTTCCAACCTTTTAGAGCACCATGGTTGACTCAACTTTGAAAGGAGCATTAAAACCAAACAGAAACCAAGGCTGAATATTTCATAAAGATGAACACCGTTAGAAAAATCCTAAATCTCAGGAGTGTGTTTGCACAACAAGAGAAGCAAGGAAAAGAAAGATGGAGATTGTGTCGTAAATAAAAGCAGCAATAATGACACATGATTGGGGGCTCCCATGGCCAAATGGTAAGTTAGTCCAGACTCACAAATAATGTCAGGCAGGTGTCAGTGACACAGGGATTGGATGTTAGTTAGTAGTACAGGGTTTTACGGCGCTCGCAACTGCATAAGATCATATGAGCGCGCGAAACACAAGTAGGTAGCATTCGCAATAGTTCACTGCACGGTTGGTCGACAATTAGATTTTAAAATGCTAAAATACTAAAATTCATTGTAAATATATTTGCCATTTAAAACAACTCTTATAAATAACAATTTAAAAATTTTAACAATATTGTTTCACTTTACAATTTGCCATAAAGGCCAATCAAAATGTCTTACAATTTCTTGCATTTATAATATTTCCTTCGGATCTCTCCAAAGTCTAGACATTCGGTTAAGATGTGTCTAATGGTAAAATCTGTGTCGCATCCGACACAGAACAGCTTCTCATCTCCCAGTAGGAGGTATTTGTGGGTCAGGGCCGTGTGTCCGATGCGCAATCGAGTAAAAATGACTTCGTCTCTTCTGGAGAGGTCCGAAGGATTTCGCTGTTTCAGTTTGGGTTTTATAACATACAGTTTATTGTTTTTCTGTTTTTCCCAGTGTCTCTCCCACAGACTGGAGGTGTATTTTTTAACTTTATTTCTAAAGTCAGTCAGTGGGAGAGTGTTTGTCGTTGATCCCAGCAGAAGGGATGAAGCTTTCTTCGCCAGGTCGTCTACCTGCTCGTTTCCTCGGATGCCCACATGGCTGGGATTGGATGGGTGGTCAATTGGGTGTGACCTTGAGCAAAACACGATGGCCTCAGCTCAAAAAGCAGGGCGCTGCACAGTGACAACCAGCAATGGCTAGTTTGTAAAATTGTCTACATTGGTGTAATTATTGTGTATTCGGTATTCGTTGAACCACGTTCATTTGCGTGCTCAAATGTGAGGCATCGTGGTGAAACCAAGCACTCGTCAAGATAATGAAATTGATGAAAAAGGCATTTTTCCACCAGTTTGGCAATTTTTATCAAAATTTTGTTTTTTGGCTAAACACCTTTTATGTTTATTTGAAAACACATTTCCAGGTGAATTTTACTGAAAAACTTTGTTTTATTTAAAGGCACAAAATATGTCATTTTCAGTTTTCAAGGACTCTTGAGCTATTGAAATAACCAAACTTTGGCTGACCTTTTCTCATTAATTTAACAACTGAAAACAGGCTACACCACCTTCTTCAATCGCAAATATCTCAACTTCTATTCAAGCTAGATGGATTTTTTTTTCACTGAAAGCAAGGCAAAAGAATAAGCTTTCAGATGATATCAGTAACTCCACATGCCTAAAAATTGACGAGCACCTGATTCCACCACGCCGTGACACAAATGTGTATTTGGTCGCTTTTAAGGACAAGTAGGCTATCCCTAAAAATGTTGTTTTGAGAAAATCGAAGGAAAAGTTTTTGCCCCTTGTTCAGTTTCATTTTAAAACAAGGAGAGTTTTCTCTATAACCAAACAAATATACACACCTATAAAACCAAACTTCTCCTATAAGTAGGGCAATGCCCACTTTTGGTGTAGGTCAAGATTTCTGGAAACCCCCGAAATGTGGGTTAGCCCGCTTGTCTTTAAAAGCGACCATTTATTATGTATGCCATTGTAACCCATATTTACCTACAGAGATTTAAAAAAGTGTAACTTTTAACTTATTATTTAATCATATCAACAATATGAAAGCCTTAATACAGTGCAAGAATGAGCATCCTGAAAGATTCTCCTGCAAACAAACAAAAAAACAAATGTGGTCCATAAAAGCTGTAAATGTAATAAGACATTTGTAAATAACAAACAGCAAAAGAGCATAAAACCGAACAGTCAACCAAGGCTGAATATTTCATAAAGATGAACACAGTTAGGAAAAATCCAAAATCTCAGGAGTGTGTTTGCACAAGTTGTTTAAAGTACTGAGAATCTCACAAAACTGTATGAGTATAGGCAACAGCGATGGCTATCGGACCAGCCATGGAAGAGAGGAGTAAGTACACAAGCAACGAATTGGGGGGGGGGGGGGGGGGGGAATACACGAAAATGGGAAGATCCAACTGGAATGTTCACTGTCATCATCATCATTACAAGTTATAATAATAATAATTAAAAGACACCTTTCCCGCCTACAGCCGGGTACCCATGCCCACTTCGATGAAGTGAGGAAAAGTCATACAACATACCAAGGACATAATTTCGGCCCCACGGTTCAAACCCATGATCCTTCAGTCACAAAGCACAAAAAGCACTTCAGTTTTGCAAACTACTCCAAATCAGTCTTGAATTCTGTACTCTAAATTATACATCTAGGATATAGAGAGATTTAGATCTAGCGTCTTGCTCTAAAAAAAACTACGCACCAAATACGCGACAAAATTTCTTAAACGTCAATACAACGAAGTAAACATTTTGCGGGTCTAAACGAACACAACATGTTGGGGACATGACTACACCAAATGTACAATACAATAAAGTTTGGCCTGAAGTAGCCAATGACACTGTGAAACACACATCCAAACAGAGTTTGATATCGAGATTCTAGTTCTGGAAGTAGAAGAAGCAGCTGTCTCACACGCACGAAGAAGCACTACTCGAAACGAAAGTAGTCCCCTGTAAAATATGAAATGGCTAATGGCAGAGTGAAAATATGTGAGAGCTTCGATTTACAGGAAAAACCATCAAACCTGAGAAATTAAAAGGTAGTTTCCGAACTTTGAAAATATGCCACGTAACCCTTTGGGACAATTCTTGTCTGAATCATATTTTTGTAGATTTTATGGGCACCTGTGTAAAAAGTGTATACTGAACCCACAAACGGGCTTAGCTCCATTATAATAAGATAATAGATAGCAAGCTCTATACACTTTACAATCTCTATTATTACCCCAGTAGACTTGATAACATTCTGAAACAATCTCAACTCCCTAGGAAGCATACAGTGCAAGCCGCCATTTTATAGGTGCTAACATATTATTACACTAACAAGATCTTTCACTGTCTATGGCCGGGTACCAATTCCCACCTGGGTGAAGTGAGGAAAATTTGAGTAAAGTGCCTTTCCCAAAACATGTTGAGCCTGAGGCTCAAACTCCCACACCTGCAACCTCACAATTACAAGTCCCGTAGTCTAACCACTAGACAACTCCCGTAGTCTAACCACTAGACTACTCCCGTAGTCTAACCACTAGACTACTCCCGTAGTCTAACCACTAGACTACCGACACCACATAATGAGAACACAAGAAAAATCCTAAATCTCAAGCAAAACCAACAGCAACAAAAATAACAACATCTGAAACAAGAGCATCAAAGGCAAGAATGACAATAACAAGAACAAAAAATACAAGATCAATTTTGAATACATCTGCTGAACACATATGACCCCATAATGGCCTTGTTCACAAACAAAAAGCTGTGACTCGGGTGGTCCAAGACTTGCCAACCGCCCAAATTCACTTTGCTTATTTTTCGGGCTGGGGAATCATGATATTGCTTATTTTGAAAATGAAATGCTTATTTTGCAACATAGTTACGGCTCTGTTGACACCTCAAGACTGAGAAACCGGAACTCACTGGGAATTAACCAGAAAAAGAAACCCAAAAGCCTGAACGCAAACAAAATTCCATCATCGAAAGCTAATTAATTTCCAATTCCAATACTTGATGGAGAAAAAAACAAAAAGTATTGGCAATTGCTCACGTATTCTCAACTCATGATGAGTACTCGAATTATGTGGAATTGGGCAACACAGACAAATTCAAGTGCCTATTTATCTGTCTGTCTGTCTGTCAACAACCCCCCTCTCTCTCTCTCTCCCTCTCTCTTCCTCTCCCTCCCTCTCCCTCTCTCTCTCTCACACACACACACACAGAAAATCCAACGGCCAGGCTGGAATTAGATCTTTGAACCTGATCGCAGCATCCACCTGTTGATCCGTCCGTGGATTAGGCCTTTATTTTCGCCGCCAGGTAATCCCAGAAAGCCGGGCTGTCTGGCCGATACCTGATGGGCGGGCGCACATCCAGGTACTGTCTGATGTGAGGGGGTACGCACTCGTCTGGCACCTCTTCTACACTCAGAAACAGGAGCACCCTGTCACGCCTCACTTCCTCACACACTTTCGCCATGTTCACTTCCGTCTCCTTCTCCTCGTTGTAATAATTTTCTCCCCAGTAGAAGAGCTCCCTAGACAGTAGAACAAGCGTCTTCTTTCCGCTAAGGACAGACTCTTCGATCACCTGCACAGGAGCAAAATAGTATGGACAGTCCAGTGAAAAACAACAACAATAATAATAATAACAACAACAACAACAACAATAATAATACTAATAACAATAACAATAATGATGATAATAATAATAATATCTGCATTTATTATTTTATACTAAATACAGACCCGTTCTACGAAGGGTGATATAATAGTCATAGTGATAGGAAATCCCACGATAAAATGTGTGTACCGGATTCATTGCCGTAGGACCTCTGTGTAGACAACACCTCTGAACATGATTCGGCGCGTGCACTTGTGTGAATGACAGAACAGTGCGCACTTCCAGGATTTGTTGTAGACATAGGCTCACAACAGTGATGTTGGGTTTTCCCAATTTTCCAAAGGTTGCGGGGGGTTTTTTAAACTATGTACTTTACAATGAACTGGAAGCATCTTGGCGAGTAGTCGAGTGGTGGTAAGTGGCAAGTTAAGAATCGAGAACAGGAAAATTTGTGTATTGGCTAAATGTATAGATCTAGATCTAGATCTTCCAAGACTGGCAAGAGAACAGGCCTATAACTCCTTTGCTGAGCACATATCAAACAGTGGTGACACAAGGTGGTGACAGCGACAGGGGAGTGAATCGGGAATCGTTTGGTGATACTGTTCCGCATTGCGCTGAAGTGAATCGTGAATCGCGTTCCGCTGGCAAGAGTGGCGATTCAGTTCCGTTCTCGCGCTCGTGACCCAGCAGTATAGTATAGCTTGCTGTTTAACTAATTTCTTGTTGCTGTAATTTTCGATCAATTTAACTGATATGTCGCGACTTCAGTGCTTTCTTGTCGCATCTCCATTTTTGTAAACAGTGAAAATGTGACTCCTTCTTATGTTCACTCTTTGTTATGAACTCGCGTCAATAGTTGTGAACACGTTTCATCTAGCACCCAACATAATTCTAAATTGGAGGAATTGGGGCAGTTTGTGTCTGAAAACCTATTGTCTGTATCAATGGAAGTG